ACAACGGCAAAATCGGCAAAAATAAAAACGATGATGATCCATTGTACAGTACGATGCATTAGCTAAAAAGACAGGATACATACTGATTGTAAAAACTTTTTACTCGAATTTCGCATTGCCTGCATCTTACATACATTCAGGATACATACTGAAGTGTCACTTAGAGTGACACTTAAAGTGACTGTCACTTATAAGTGTGTGCACGCTTTTGAGAGGTCGTTTCCCCCTTGATCAATTCTGTCGGTTGACTGGGGAAGATCTTTTCCATGTCTTCATCAGATTTTTCATCAGGGACTATACTGAGACCATCTTGTTGAAACAAGTCTTTAGGAGCACTATGTTCCTGGAGTCTACGAATACCTTGGCGTTCTGTTTATTCCATATAACTATCTTCATAATTACTATATTTGGACAGATAGACTACATCTGATTGGAGATCCTTTGGAATTTTATCTTTCGGTTGAAAGAAAGTTTGCATGGCCAGTGGAGGCTTTGATACAAATCGCAAATCGATATCTGGCCGAACTTTCCTAGAAAACTGCGTGAATTTCTTTTTCAAAGGTTATGTAGAGTTCTCAGTACACGGAATTTCTCTGTAGATCCGTTTCTTTTCAGGTCCGAGCATAGGTGCACCTATGTCTTTCCTTTCACCCTTATCTTTTTAAAGCGATGTTGTAAGTCCTATTCCAGTTCGTATGTCAATAAATGATAATGGATAGCTATTTATTCTAGCAATATATCCAATCTGATTGTTGAATTGAATAAAAAGAAGACTTATACTGCGCTTGAGGCTTTGAGAAAAGCTCGACGGGAGAAGAAAAAAATACTGAGCCTAACGTAGTTTCATGATGCTCCGCCGCCTCTGAAGGTAACGTTTGCCTATGTAACGATCTTGTGTCCCGTTCTTGTGGTAAAATGATTAATGTTAGCTTTTTCTAAAAACAATAGAGAGACAGTTCTTCTCAAGTTTTCTAAATATTTCCGAACACTTTCTAAAATGTTTTGTTGATCAGAAGGAGTCATTTCCTCATTCAGTTAAAATGGATAACTCCTTCTCGATTCCAAAATATATTATAGAATCCATGAAGCAACATAATCCTAAAGATTTTTCGATTCCAAATATGTGCACCCTGAATTATGAGATTTATGGTCTCTTTTTTACCTACTGAGTTTGCGAAACAAAGTATTCTTATAACATCTTGAATTGTACCAATAAGCCACTTTTCGGTCGTATGACTTCAACTTCTTTTTAACAATTAAAAAGGGTGAAACTGAGGATTAAATATTTTTTAGTCAATTAATTTCAAGAGTTTTCCGCTGCATGACATAACAGAGAACAAATCTTTAAATATGCAGCATGTATAAACATGTGATGAACGTTGCGCTGTGAGACTGTGTTTGTGATCCCTCCACAACCTGTTTAGGCTGAACATATCAGGAACATTTTCAGTTTTCATACGGTATTCAACATAGTTTATGAATACGACAGTCACAGTATTTTACTTACAAGGATGAAGAAAAAGCTATGCTTGTGCCTCATTTAGCGTCATATGCTTGCAAGTGTGTCATACATGCATGAGAACAGACTCACCAACTGGTAACGGTGATCATTCTCTACAAACTGAGCCGGTCAGAATATCTAGACAGGTGGGGTCAGTCATTAGAGATATGCAAACGAAGTGTTTCGGTGTTATATATGCAGCACGGTATAGCATAATCATCAAATGAGGCGAGGTAATCAAGAACTAATCAAACTAAATTTTAGTTGTTTTACAGCCATTATTTGATTTTTAGGCTGTGTATATGCTTTCATGTTCTCTATTAGTAAAAGAAAAAGTACGAAAAAGAAGTTTTTTTTATTCCTATTGTCTTTTTGTCCTGTTCTTCTCTCTGCCGCGTGTGTTTTGTTTTCTACATCATTCAAGCAAGAAAGAGCATAGACAAACGAGAAATAACAGAAGCATTTTAAATATAGTTCGTTTCCTGTCTTGTTGTTAGTTATCAGCAGGTATTTCATTGTTTTTCGTCTGTTCTACTGAAATAACGTCCGTTGTGAGTTATATGATGCATACACTCCATTGTTTAAGAGTTTATCAGCAGTAGAAAACTTTGCACTTTATCCATGTCATTGTGAATTTTTCTAGATGAATAGTGGACGTGAATGTTACAAATGTGGACAACTAGGTCATATTGCTCGGTTTTGTAACAAGAGTGGTGATGAAGATTACAAAGAAACTCGAACTTGGTACGACACTTATTGTTTATTTATGTAGTTTACTCCGTTATAATCGAGACTAGATTATCGAGTACATTAATAATTCTTTGACGGTGTTTCACTTCTAGTTATAGATGTCATCGTCGCGGCCATTTGGCACGTGAATGTGACAAAGACTCACTTCAACCAACACAATGTAATCGTTGTCAAGGTTTTGGTCATATTGCGCAAAGTTGTACAGCGGTAGGACATCATTTTCGACGTAAAGATACGAAAAATTCAGTGCAAGGTTACCAATCTTCGTCGCGTTCAATAAAAAAGGAATCTCGACCGCTGAATTTATCATACGCAGTAGCTGCTCCGCAAAGTAAGTTTCGATGAGCATATCTGTCATACACAATACAAATGCACAAGTCATTTATAGATGTTTCTCAAACAACTGCGGTGCCATTAACTCGGAGTGTTCAGATTTGTAAAGGAGTCTCAACAAAGCAGAAGGTGTGTTGAATTTTTTTTGTTTCCCAAGTAGCATAATGCTGAAACCATAGAAAGAGAAACTGAAACTTTTGTTCTTACCAAGGGCTTCGTTATACAACATGCAGTTCGTGAGAGATTTTGCTTTCGATACACTACCTAGTTTCCCGATCGAATCGACTTTTTGGGGTTTTCTGATGATGATCGTTGTAGTTCCTATGCACGATGTTTGAATGATTTAAATGTATTATGGAAATATCTTGTGATTTCACTCGATTGAAGATATTCTGATTTTAGATTGACGTAATTGCGGTATGTTCAACATCCGATGGAAACAATAGGATGACGAATCTCGAAGCGCTAGCCAATGAGATCCTCCTCGACTTATTCGAGTATTTCTCGACTGTTCATCTCCTTTGTGCCTTTCATGGTCTCAATTCTCGCTTTGAAGCGCTCTCTTTTCATTCTCTTTTCACCAATTCTCGTGCTTGTCATTTGGATTTTCGGTCAGTGTCGAAACACGACTTTAAAATGATTTGTCAACGATATCTTCCGTTGATTATGGATCGAATCACTTCACTTTGTCTTTCGGATGATCATCGCGATTTACAACAAACTAAACTTTTCACATTCTATGGCTTGATTCCACGTCAATTCAATAATTTGCGATCACTCTCTTTGTGCCACGTTCGTTCTCGGCAGATAATGAATAAAATGATGGTTGAATGGCCTCATCTTCATCATCTCACGCATCTCAAACTGATTAAGTGCCACTCTTCATTTGGACGCACAGATACAACCCATCTGTCCAACACTATTTGGAGTTTACCTAAACTGATTCATTGCTGTCTGGATACTGAGCCATACGCTTTTCATACGCCAACAAGGATCTCATTGTCTCTTGAATACGTCTCAATCCTAGGTCATTGTTGCCGCTTAAATCAGCTGACACAATTACTGAAACAGACGCCTCGTCTTCGAAGCATTTGCATACGTCATCACGAACTTAATGATGACCAATACCTCTCCTCACCTATCCCATCAATAACTGATTTGAAACTGCACGATATACACTCACGACCTATGATGATGAATCTTCTGCAAAGCATGCTCAACTTGAGTCGTTTGAGTGTTGAAACACTCTATATTAATCTGGATGGTTAACAATGGGAACAAATCATTATTAACCATCTGCCCAAGCTACGAGTTTTTCGACTTAAAATGGACATACAGTTTACCGGCAAGAAGGACAATACACAACAAGTCGATACACTTCTCGATTCATTTCGAAGTCGATTTTGGCTCGAGCAACACCAATGGTTTGTTCGATGTCATCGGAGGCCACATAAAGATTACAGCGACATCCTTCTTTACACTTTGCCTCCAACATTTATGGATTTCAACATGAGTACGATGCGCTTCCCGTATAAATCGACTTGCCCCTATGACGGAAGTCATTAGCCATTACCTCCAGTAAACAGTTTTTTAAATACAATTCACCACTCTTTTTCTCAGACTCTCTCATCTACTCACTGGAAAATTTTCGCGATTAGAATTGATTAAAATGCAAAAACCACCTTCGCGTGCTCAACCTCATCAATGCGCATTTTACTTTGTGGTCGGTATGCGGGATCCCTGCTACTCACACAGCAGATTTTTGAGACACAAAGAGCATAAACTGTACGAAAAAGGGCTAAACACTGTTTTAATCGAGCTAAAGCCATTTGATAGCGCAACGAGAAGGAGCTTTTCTGTCCTTGCTGAGTCTTTCTAAAGTCGAAAAGCAACAATCGCACTGGTTTGAACGACCGCAAACAAAAAGATTCACGCTAATGAACATAACCTGCATGCCCAAAAAAAGATTTATCGCTTGTCCTTTTCCTCAAAATTCTGATATATTTTCATCTTTTCAAAGAGCATCACATGACTTCGAGAACGAAAATTCGAAGTTTGTACGTTCATTTTAGTGCATATGATCACAGCCTATGAGACATTTATCGAAAACTTCGAATTTTCGTTCTCGAAGTCGTGTGATTCTCAAAATTGGTACACAAAGGTAGTTCGACATGCTCTACAACATGGGCACACGAGAACACGATACGAGAAGTTTTAAGGTGAGTTTCGGGCCCAAAACCGATTTTTAGAGGTTACCTTCCCTGACCAGACTTGAAGTTTAATAGATTTTCTGATTGTGTAGGGTTGTAGAGATATGTTTGCTCGATCAAACTCATGTCATACGACAATTCCATGCTATTAGAACTTTCCGCGCCAAGCCCACTTAAGGAAGTTTCACCGATAGGTGCAGCCTGCTTGAATGTTACATTTCCTGATAAAGTTATCTTTTCTCTTTCTAACAACGCAAACCACACGTCTCTAGCTACTTCCGTTGAGAAGTTATTCAAGTTGCAACCAACTGCATTGTTCTAGGAAATGGATAATAGCTAAGTGTGGTTTACAAGAAAACAGTATACATCATTTGATTCGGAATTTGATGAGGATTTCAGATATACCATCTCATTTGCTGGACAACTTACATTTTTTCAAAAATTTTAATCTTTTATATGCAAACCTACAATGTTTTTCAGTTCTTAGTAGTTCCAGTCTTGTTGTCAGGTCGACTACTTTTTTGTTCAAATCCACATTAGTTTCCTGTTCTTTCACAGCAGCATTGTTTTGTTTCACAGCTTTTGGCAAGTATTGATCAATAGTATTTCTAATCAGCGTTACAATCTTTTCTTTTTGTATGATGTTCGTTTTGTACAATGAAGATTCCACACCAGAAATTACATGTGCAACATACTTAGAAACGTCTACTTTTGCTGTTGGTATAAAATTAAGTCCTAAGCTTAAAACTTCTATTTCGTCTTTTGTTAGTTTTCTTGTTGTTAGATCGCCCACTTTTTCGTTCAAATCCACATTAGTTTCCTGTTTATCACTTGACAGATTCGTCGTGTTCATCTCGTTTGTATCCATAAGTTTTCTTTCGTTATCGTTCTGTTCGTTTTTTAATTTCGAAAACTTGTTAAACAATTTCTTTTTGAGTTTATAACGAAAAGTTGGAATATTGTTTTGAATTTCGTAGCACCATTTTGGTAGCAAAGATTGGTCATTGCTATTAATCGCTCTCATTTTGTTATCAATGTTGTCTAATTCGAATTGAATGCGTGACATTTTCGAATAATTATTTCTAATTGCATTATTAATGAGTTTTTTACTTGCTTCGTTACATATCCGTTTACTGCCTTTGCTTACAAATTGTCTAGATTTTATCCTAAAACCATGTGGGATTATGTCATTATGTTTACATTTTTTCAAGAATTTCATTTGCTCAAATAATTTTGCTTGAGAATATAAGTATTTCCGTTTCTTTTTAAATAGCATACAACGTAAGTTGAACG